CGGTGGCAGCTCCGGTGGCGGCGGTGGCGGGGGTACCTACCCGCCGCAGCCTGATTTCCAGCCCAGCCAGCGCACCTCGGCCAGTAAACTGGGCGCGCTCTCGCTGGGCTCCTTCAACAAGCCCAGCTCCAAGGACAACCTGTTCGGCCAGAGCTGCCTGGCTGCGCTCTCCACCGCTTGCCAGAACATGATCGCCAGCCTCGGGGCCCCCAACCTCAACGTGACCTTCAACAAGAAGAACCCGCCCGAGGGCAAGAGGAAACTGAGCCAGAACGAGACCGACGGCGCGGCAGTGGCCGGCAACCCGGGCTCGGATTACTTCCCAGGAGGGACTGCTCCTGGGGCCCCAGGAACCGGAGGCCCATCCGGGACCAGTAGCAGCGGCTCCAAAGCCTCGGGGCCACCCAACCCTCCAGCCCAGGGGGACGGCACCAGCCTCTCCCCCAACTACACCCTGGAATCCACGTCGGGGAATGACGGCAAGCCGGTCCCCGGGGGCGGCGGCCGGGGACGGGGTCGCAGAAAAAGGGACAGTGGTCACGTGAGCCCTGGCACCTTCTTTGACAAGTACTCGGCGGCTCCGGACAGCGGGGGCGCACCTGGGGTAAGCCCAGGGCAGCAGCAAGCGTCAGGTGCAGCCGTCGGGGGAAGCTCCGCAGGCGAGACGCGCGGGGCACCGACGCCCCACGAAAAGGCGCTCACGTCGCCATCCTGGGGGAAGGGGGCTGAATTGCTCCTGGGGGATCAGCCAGACCTCATTGGGTCCCTGGACGGTGGGGCCAAATCGGACAGTAGTTCGCCACACGTAGGTGAGTTCGCCTCGGACGAGGTGAGCACGAGCTACGCCAATGAGGACGAGGTGTCGTCCAGTTCTGACAACCCCCAGGCACTAGTTAAAGCGAGCAGGAGTCCCCTGGTGACCGGCTCGCCCAAACTCCCTCCCCGTGTAGGCGCCGGGGAACACGGACCGAAGGCGCCCCCGCCCGCCCTCGGCCTGGGCATCATGTCTAACTCTACCTCGACCCCTGACAGCTACGGCGGCGGTGGGGGCCCGGGCCATCCGGGCACGCCGGGCCTGGAGCAGGTCCGCACCCCGACGAGCAGCAGTGGCGCCCCACCACCCGACGAGATCCACCCCCTGGAGATCCTTCAGGCGCAGATTCAGCTACAGAGGCAGCAGTTCAGCATCTCCGAGGACCAGCCTCTGGGGCTGAAGGGTGGCAAGAAGGGTGAGTGCGCCGTCGGGGCCTCAGGGGCGCAGAATGGCGACAGCGAGCTGGGCAGCTGCTGCTCCGAGGCAGTCAAGAGCGCCATGAGCACCATCGACCTGGACTCGCTGATGGCAGAGCACAGCGCTGCCTGGTACATGCCCGCTGACAAGGCCTTGGTGGACAGCGCGGACGACGACAAGACATTGGCGCCCTGGGAGAAGGCCAAACCCCAGAACCCCAACAGCAAAGAAGGTATATGCGCACCCATTTTCCTCTCACTTCCCGGGTGACCCGCCCCATCCCCAGGGCAGGCCTTAGCCTTTGCGCCTTGGGGTCCTTTGAGGTTTGGAGGGCACAGACCCTCCTAATCCCCAACTAGGAGCTGGTTATCCCACCTTTGCTTACACCAAAGGCTGTGAGGACAGACCACCCCCCCACTGCCCCCAAGCCCCCCACATGCTGCCAGGTAGATTCTACTGCCACAGGGTGGTAAAAACTTAGATGGCAGCCCTTTGGGAATCTTGTAGAGTACACCGCACAGCCTCCCCCACACCCCCAGTTTTAGCTGAGTTGCCCCTTCCCTTTCACACTAAGACCCTTCCCCACCCTCAACATTTAGGCAGGTTCCACTTTTTAGCAGCTGTGTGCTGCCTTCCCTGGCAGGACACCTGGGAAGTTGTGTTAACGCCTCCCACCTATTCCTAGTTAGTCAGCCTCTAGCTCTAGTTCTTTTAGGTGCCAGCATCTTTAGAAAAAAAGTTACCAGCCCTGGTGTCAGCAGCATCACTCAGAGGCAACACCTAATTTGACATTTGTTCCTAATGAATAGCTATTTTGTCTCTTCTTAACTATCAGAGTTTCATTGAAAAACTGGAGACCTGTGGGGGTTGAGGAGGCAGGGAACCTTTTCAGGGTGCACCGCCTTGACATTTGGTGGGTTTGGGGAGGGGGAATGCTGGGGTGGGGTCGGCCTGGCAGAGACCAGACCACTCAGTCAGGACATCATTTGTGTATGGAGATATGGATATATATTCTTAAGACACAAAGGATCCGTGTTTGTCAATATCTCGCTTGGCTTTGGTGACAGATGTCCTGTCCCAGCTTTCGTTTGCATTCTAAACACCCCCTTCCCACCAGGCCTGGAGGCCTTTAAGGTGGGAGGGGTGGGGTTAGTAAATGGGCTGCCTTTCCAGTTAAAGTAATAACAGTTCTCTTTAACCTAAGGATGACTGGGTTGCCGTAGATATTTATTTTATCTGAATGGAGCTTTAAAATGTATATATATATAAGGTGTGTGTATATATAGGTGTCTATATAGGTATGTGTGTCTATATATGTATCTATATATATCGAATGGCTTCTTAAAATCAGATAACATCATTTTTTTCTTTCTACCTCTTTCTTTTAAACTATAGTTGAATTCCCTTGGTTTCCCTAGACAGACTATCGCCATGGAACCAGTGGCTGACATTTTAACCTTGTTTTTAAAAATGTGCCCCCTCTCAATGCGATTCTTGCCCTCTTTTACAGTTCTTTCCTCCTCTGCCTTCGTTTCCCTCATCCTCCCCATATCCTGCCATATCTTGACCCTGGATTTAAGGTGAGGGTAGGTTTTAGGAGAATGGCACGGGGGCTGGGGGAGGTAAGAGGAGAGGAGGCGGGAGTGGGCTGGGAGTTGGGTGGTTCAAAACTTGGGGCTTTCAAGGCGCCCATCCCGGGTAGCTTTCCCGCTTAGGTTTTCTAATTCATGAATGCGGCCTCTCTGCTTTTTCTCTTTGTTCCGCGGTTACTGCCCAGCCCAGGACGCCCGGGACGCACTCTCTCATTTGAAGCCGGGTGTTTAGCATGCACAGCAGACGCTGCGGCCAGCATCAGCATTCTCCAGGCTTCTCCCAGGCAAGGCCATAAATTGGTTAGTTTGGGACCCTCAGCTTCTTCTCCCTTTTTTTCCCCCTTTTTAAAATCAAGTTGGACACAGCATCCTGCTTGCTCCCCCCACCCCTTTATTTTCTTGTACACAACATCTCGATCTGGCCCGATCGATCGATAGCTGGTTAGCACAAATCTCAGCCCCTGTCACTTCTACCTGGCCTGGCCTGGCCGCCCCTCCCCCTTCCCCTTCTCATCCTTCACCCACCCCTAGTAATTAAGAACATATTAGCCAAAATGAGGTGAGAAAAGTTAAAACAAGGAACAAAACCCTGATTTAAAGAATTAATTTAAAGAAAAACAGTAGCACTTCATCTTCAAGTCTTTTAAAGGGCCTTCATAGACTAGGTGGACAGGTATAGGGTCATTTTAATAAGATTTTTAGAAAATGTCTCTCCCCATCCCCTTTCCAATCCTTCCTTTAGAGATGAAGATGCAGGCTGTGAATGAAGAAATGTCAACCAAAGAAATGTTTTGTTTGTGTCATCATCACAGTCAGATGAATGAAAATATTTTTTAGAAACAGATGCTAGTCACTTAAGGGTTGATTTCCCCTGTAAGCTAAAGGAAGCCCTCCCCTGCACGCGGGACAACAGGGACTTCCATCAGGGACCAGCAGGGCTGGCTGCCTTATAAGCACCAGCAGGGACACCCACTTGACCTCCTTTGTTTTCTACTCTGTGGTATGGGAAGGACAGTTTCCTCGATAAAGCAGCGAATTGAGGTCACTGGAAGCTTCTGTAGCCTTGGGGTTGCTAGTTAAGGCTTTCTAAGGTATCTGCATCTGAATCCCGCTCCCTCACTGGTAGTAAATAAGGATGATTAAACTTTTCATTATGATAGCACCCTGTAGTTCCATCTGCACATGTTGTATAAATAGGTACACAGAGCTTTCTACAGGCCCCTGAGTCCCCTGGCGGAAAATCAGAGTGAAGTGTGCCACTTCAAAATAGAGACAGGAAAAAAAAAACCATAGCAAAATGTTCTGCTTTTCCTTTAAAAACATGCTCATGGTCCCATTAGCCTTGAGCAGTGGTGTCCAGTGGTTTTGAATAGACCTTCTCTAGGTACCAGCCCCAGCATTTTTTTTTTCTAACCCCCTTGCAGGCAAAGCCCATTTTTGTAATGATATTTTATTTTGTCACGCCGTAAAACATGCCAGTACTAATGTGATTAAATATTAACACCGTTTCTGAAATTCTTCGCTCCAATGACAAAATACTAGTCGGTATTTAACAAAATGATCCGTGCTCGGATTGGAGGGAACGAATCAGTCTTCAGAACTGCACAAGGCGTGCAGCCACTGGGACGTGCCCAGATTGTCTTATGGGCTTGAGATGTCCTTTGGAGGGGAGGGAACTTGACTGGCAAGTTGTCGTTCTCTCAAAGTCTAGGCCAACATCACATGGGATGATGATTTTTTAAACCAGGAAATCTAGCTAGTCTCTCCAAATCATGCTTCTCTTGACTTCTTAATCAACCCACCCAACAACTTTTATATAATGCAACTTCACCTCTGATCATGAGGCTCTATTTGTACAAAGTTGTGGTGGGGGAAGGGTGAGATTGTGAAAAGGAAAAAAAAAAAAAAAAAACCCAACAAACCCAGCCTGAGTTTGGGCCTTTTCAAACATCAATTAAATTGGTGAGAATTACATGAATTTAAAAAGAGTTTGCAAAATCATCCGCCTATCTTTGTAATAGGTGTGTGGCTATGGAAGAATTTCAACACAGAGAAGGAAAGATAATGATAGATTATAGATAACGTATATGAAGTTGGAAAAAGTACGTGTTCTCCCCTCCTGCCCCTTACAATTTTCAAAAGTTGAATTAACTGTATTCTGTAATACATTTATCCTTGCCAAACCTCCTCTCCCCTGGTAGCTCTATCTTGAAACTCAGGGCAGTCTTGAAGTACTCTTTCACATACGTTGAAATGGGAGCAGTCTCGATACACACTCTGCAAGCAATCCTGCTCTTTTTGGAAGTATGATATTTTTACAGTGATGCCAGAGAAATTTTTGGAATTTCATGCTTCTCTCAGTGTTGCAGTCAGAACACAGTAACAGCACTGAGCAATCCTAGGCAGACATGATTTGAACATGGAATTTCTTTAGACATGGGGCAGACTTGGGGTGGGGGGGGGCAGGGAGTTCCTAGCCTCAGAGCAAAGCACTGTTTTCCTGAGAGAATTTTTAAGGCTCATTCGAACTTGTCTGGGGAAGGCAAAGAGCTTTGCAATCCTGTTTCCCTGTGAAATTACCCAGCACGAGTTGCATGCCTTCATGTGACTTTTGCGCCTCCGGAAGATGTAACCCAAAACTTCGCAGGTGTTAATAAGGGATAATGTAAACAGATAGGGCCCCCTTTGTGCAGCTGACGTTTGGGCCTGCCTGCTCCCTGGATATCCCAGGACATCAAACTACTGTTCTTTGGTGCTTGTTTAATATTTCATGGCTGTAATAAACCTGTCTACTTTGCCCGCCTCCCGACATAAAACCCCAACCTAACACACATCTGCAATCATACATTTCTACTAAATATTAATAAAGGACAAGGATGTTTTAAGGGGCTGAAGGCTGGCAGTGTTGAACTTGTCATGGTTTTCTACCACTGGGTTTTTCTGGCTGTTTTGATTTTAAATAGCCATTGCTTTCTCATATGCAAAATATATTTATATATTCATATATATATATGCAATTTTTACAGATTGAAGGGCTTTCCTCAAGTAGTATAGCTTTCTTTAATATATATTCACCTAGATTTCTTGTGAGGCCCCTTCAGACCGGAAATAAGGAACTGTTGAAATGTTCTTCTAGTTTATTGAGGTTTCTAGGAAAGGAGTGAGAGTTAGTTAATCTAATTTCTCTTTCTAGCAATGAAATTCTATGATTCCTAATATGATTTTGTTTGCCTGACAGAGGTATTTAAATTTCCACAAAGAATCTTAATAGGTTTTGGAAATGCGGCTACTCTTGCCAAGAAGTTACTTGATACCTTGTGCCGATATAAAATATACATTTTTAATAAATAGTCCGGCAGGACCAAGTGAAATCAGAGGAGGAAAATTCTTCCTACTGTGGAAGGGCCAACTCGAGTGGGTCACTGGGATTTCACGGGATCTCCTGAACTCACTCTATGCTGGAAAATGTAGCACAATCACTTGTGACCCGTTTCTCTCCACTTGAATGACAATGACGTCGGATTGTGTTCTTGGCCCAGGGAGTGATCAGCTTTGCCGAAAGCATTTAGGAGAGATAAATACTCTTGGTAAGGAATACCGTATTTACCTCTGTTTGGTTATTTTTAGAGATTAAAAGGCT